TTTTTTTTTTTGTACCTTCAAAACCTCCCTTATCTGGCCGCGCTGTCTGTCTGTACAGCTTTGCGTCGCCGTTCGTTGCAAAGTATTCCTTTTATCTACGACGATGATGGGGCCTGGCTTGGTCCCCCGTGAGTCCGTTTCACGTGTACGCGTGTGTTACGTTACATGACGTACGTCGTCACCGGTCAGTTTTTGGAACTGTCTGCATTACAGAGCATCACTGCCGCGTTTGCCGCAGGAAATATCTATATATATATATATTACGTAACTAACGTCGCGTGTGTGTTCGCACACGCGGGATGCTTCGGAGAAAAAGAAAAAAAAGAAAAAAAAAGGGGGAGAAAACAGAGAAATCGGAGAAATAACATAACCTAACGTAAAATAGAATCAAAAAAAAAAAGAAAAAATAAAATAAAATAAAGAAAAAAATAAAGGAGCCCGATGCAAGTCCCTCCCATACGTTGTCAGTCACGAGGCAACGAGCTGACATACATACATACATATATACATGTGTATAGGTATTCTTGTCGTGTGTGTACGTTTGGTAAAGAACGAAAAGAAGTAAGATAGACGTAGAAAGAAGAAACGGGACAGCAGACCGATAGAAGCTCTCACGCCAGTGGTGGATCTCCTTTCGTTTTCACGGACAGTCCCACAAACTTTTTACCAGTCGATCTCTCCACGTCTAGGTCGAGGTGAGCCGACTCTCGAAACCGTGGCTCAGCCTCGACCGGTTAGCATACCGCGTTCGAAATCGCTTGGACTTTCGTCGGGACCAGTGTCCAGGCTCTCCCGTCTGTCTCTGTCAATTTTTTTTTCTCTTTTTTTTTCCCGTCTTCTTCTTCTTGATTTTCCTTAGGCGACAGATAGTAGCAGAACACAGCGAGACCGCGCGTCTATCTTCCACCACTGCGGGGAATCCCTCGGAGGGCTAACTTGTTTACACCAAACACGCACACGTAATACACACACGTATATACATACACGTCTCGCTTTCCGTCTGCTCGATATGTACATTTATTATACCGATTGACAGCGTCCCCGCGGCTCTTACTCAATCCCGACTGTTCCAGCTTCTCTACAACGGAAGTCTCCAAACAACCCCTCTGTGTCTCTATCTCTGACGCGATTGCCAATCGTACACCGACCCGTTTACGCTCCCAGCTCGTGGCGATGGGCGTCCCGGGTCCGAATTTCACCGAATTTCGAGGTTGTTCCACGACTCGGTGATCGGATTCGAGTAGATTTTCGCAAAGCTCTAAGCAAACCGAGATTCTCTGGTGTTTCCGATGTTCTAGACGTGGGAAAGCTCGAGTTTCAGATCGGAGGACTGGCAGGAGTCTTGGAATCCCATCTACGAAGCAGCGAAACGATGTTACGTGTAATTTCAAATATTTAAATCCTATTCTAGAGAAGAGGGTGAGAAAGATTTCTCAGAAGTATGTAGATGTAAAATTTTCCGACGAAATTCGTACTCTAGAAGGAGTTGATCTTCGCTCGGTCTGCGTGGATTAAACGAACTTGGATTACGATAATTTCCTTTAGAAAATTATAAACTCCGCGTTAAAGTGTAAAACCGTGCAGAAGTTTCGAAGGGAGTTGCACAATCCTGCCTGTCTAAGCAGTCGACGCGTGATAATTGCTCGTGGAAACTCGCGACTTCCAAGACTCCCGTCAGTGGGACCAATTCAACAGAGACGACGAAGAATTTCCAGCGAATCTCGCGATCTCGAGGAACACGATGACGTTTGCTTGCGATTCCTCATCGCCACCTGTTCGGTCGAGGCGAACCATCTGATCGATCCTCCTTCTGTTTCTTTCTGATTTGTTATCTTTTGGTTCACGACGATATACGAACACGAAACTTCTCTAATATATACAAGCGGCACGCGAAGTCCAAGCGTGTAAAGAGAAAGAAACGTAGCAGAAAGAAAAAAAGAGAAACACACACACGTGCATGAGAGCTGACGAGGGCAGGCCGTGAATCTCGAAGCGTATCGTTGGTACCCCTGTCGGCGACGGTTTCTCGAGTGTTTCCAGTCGATAGACGATCTCGCGAGGGTTCCACCGGCCGCTCGTGTCTCGTTAGCGATAGGTAAGTAGCCTCTCCTCGAGCGGAATTCCTCCTGGCTCGATCTTCCGTGATCCACGCGTCTCGTAGGTGTCTGGCCTATTTTAATGTTAGAGAACAGACGCCGGGTCTATCCGCGTCGATTTTCCTCCGATCAAGCAGTGTGGCCTGATAGTCACGCGTTGGCAGAGAAACTCGAATCGTTTGTCTTCCCCTCGTCACACGAATGGGGACCGAGCAAGCGTTCTCCAGTCTGTTCGATCGGATCTTGGTGTAACACGGCACGTTGTTGCTCAGTGAATCCTGTTTTCTGGTTAGAACGTCTGTGTAAGTCGCGAATAACCTTGTCGTAACTGGAGAACCGTATTGACACTGGTCGATGGGTTGTGTTCACCTTTGATGGCCGTCAGAGACCACGCGACGTTAGCAATGGGTCAGTCCATCGAGTACTCTAGGCGACTGGTCAGTTGGCAGATGGAAGCTTTAGTACAGCATTAAATCCTTCTCTGAATCAATTATAATAAAGATAGATCACTTGGATTTGCGTTATTAGCTGAGAATATCGAGAGTCGTTGACAGAGGACAGGTCTCATGGAGACCAAACAGGGTAGAGGATGAGAAAGAGTGCAGACATATTTTACTGTGTCAGGTAGTTTCATATATAAGTACCACTGTATTAACATATAGAATGTCACCGAGTGCCACTTAGAGTCTAAAAGCACAGCTCTCAAGAACATCAAAGATAGAGTCAGAGGGAGCCACGAGAGGAGCCCTGTTGCTTCTGAACCGTTCCAACTGCCAAGTTGCCAATCGTGTACGGTACATGCAAGTACAAGTTCCATTGCTACGTGAGGAACTAGCGAAAAGGCGAGGTCCATGAAGCCACGTGACGAGACCCTTGCTGGACCAAGAGGGGTACGAAACTCGGCCAACGATCAGGGATCGTCGAGAGACGAGTTCTTTCTCACGAAAGATGTCTATGTGCGATGTCTAAGTACGTAATGGGTTAGAAATGGAGGGAACACGCAGGTGATAGGATGTATCGTGGAAGGAGTCAACTATGAAGGATGCGTCGAAGGATCTAGCCGAGGATCTGCTCGAACGTAACTGTCACACGTTTTATCCTTTCTTTTCTCTTTTTGTCTTCTTTTCTTTTCGCTCTTCTTCTCCAGGGGAAGAGGACACGTCTCGGTATTTGTGTTCACGTATGGATTTTTAAGACTCCTCTCTGTGTCAGTTTGATTGTGTCTTGCCTTTAGCGTGAGCCGTGGCGCCAGCGAACAGACCAACGAATCAATCAGGCTTTCCGTCCAATCTCGAGAGAGCAACCGATGTTTTCTTTTTTTTTTCCTTTTTTTTTCCTCTCTTCTATTTGCCATCGTAATTATACTCTGAATGTTACTTGCGCTTGCGTTTATGAGAACGTCTTGTTGCCTCCCTCTGCTTTTGTTTTCTCTCCCAGTCTTTTTCTGTTCGACGAGCCAGATACGACGAGGCGTCGCGTCGCTTCGATCACCGATCCAATCATCGCCAGTCACAAGACGGGAACCTAATCTTTTTAGTTTGCACTGAATCCTCGTGTCAGGAGAACCGCGTCGCGATCGAGTCGTCGATTTCGGGATAGCCTTCGAATTTATTTTTCGCTTATTTTTCTCGTGAGTTCGGTGTCATGGGGTTCCATGCACCCCAAATATTGAAATACAGAAGTCTATATTTTTAGGGGAAAGTCTATTACTCTATCCTAAATTCTGGAAAATTTTCTTTGCATTTATGAGGTGTGTGTTATTTTATTCCTAATTCTGGAAATGTTTAATTTTAGAATTGGAATACCAAGATACGTAGTAAGAATTAATAATATACGTGAAGTGTATAGTATTTCTTTCTTCTTTTATGGAGAAAGTAATTAAATTCGTAATTGTCACTCGATGAAATTGCAAACCAGATATTGACATTAAGAGAAATAAGGGTGCACGGAGCCTCTGATACCGTGAAATTCCGTTACGAAAGGATATCTAAGGATTACCATGATGATCCGGTAAGGAGCTCGATGAAGGATCAGGTCGAGATGAGTCTTAAGCAGGAAATGGAGGAAAGAAGCGACCGGTAATTTCCTTAATTAACGTCCTTCGTACCGTCACCGTATTAAAATCGGATCGTCTTCCACTGCCTCAGCTGAATCGAACAAGAGAACGCTGAATAAGAACGTAGGAAATTGCTGACCACGGTTGCCAATCTACCTATCAGATTCTTGATACTCAAAAAAAGACGCGGATAATTGGAACAGGAAGATCATTAACCGCACCCATCAACGACCTAATCACCTCTCTGTCAAACCTGATTCTATTTTCCCCTTTATTCCACGAAATTCCAAAAATTTGCCAAAAAAAAGGTCACGAACTGCAGATTATTCTCTGATGAAAGAATCTTCGTTGATTCCCAAAATTTGAATATCAGAAATTTCAGAATACTCGCCAGTTATAGAACCTTTACGAATTATCAAGAATTACGAAGTACCAAGTACCTATCGATCTGTAATAAGGCTCAAAAGGGGAAGAACAGATCTACAGATATCCTTGATTATCGTTTCATCGAAGGATCGATACACTGTCCAGGATCCCTGGGTCAGTTGCGACTCAAAAACGTTGACACACTTTCGCTTCGTAACGTAGAAGCAGGAGTTCCACGAACGCGTAGGATCATCCTGACCTTTTGTTTCCGCGAATATTATGCCATCTCGCGGAGTCAGTTCCGCATAGCAGAGCACGTTCCGGAGAAACGGATCGCGAGACCCGTTTCCACGAAGGATTCCGTGTTCCTTGGTCCCAGGCAGCATCGGTGGATTAGCTAAAAGCGGCATGTCTAATGATACACGACACACTTGGGCGTACTTAAAGCTGATTCACAACGGTCCACTTCGGTACGCTAGGGATTAACCCTAGATTTAGACTTTAGGCTATACTTCCCGGGAAATGGTCCAGTCGCGATGGATCCACGGTCGTTCGGGCGTTGCTCGATGCTCCGAAGATCGACCTGTTCACTTTACAGAGAATTTACAACGAATGGCATCCGTGAGCATGGATTCTTTACGATCCACTGCAGTTCGACAAGTGTGCCTAGAGTTGGGCTTGACTTAGTCTGGTTATTTTTCTCCGCTAGGGTTATTCGTTTTGTTTCACGAAAACACGCTCTGTCACATCGTGAAATGAAAGAGTTTCCTATGAATTTTTGTGAATATAAAATTCTCAATCTTACATAGTCAGTTTATATTAATTAGACCAAGTGTCGGACACCTTGGAACTACTTCGAGACTGGACCACTAGCTCTACCGATCACTTATAACATCGACATAAATTCTCTGACTGGATCATGAACTCTGCTACTCCATAGTCTTACATTACTCGATTATACTTATTCAACTATACCATCACACGATTACCTAGTGCGAGTCTTGAGTCCCCCGGACCGTTCCAAGACTAGACCAGCCTGAGCCAAGCATCACGGTCTTCCCGCTGACGTTAAAATCTCTAGCACTTGCCAGTTGTAAAACGTCTAAGTACACGATCACTTATTCTATGTCCAAAATCGATTAGCATAACCATAGTTATCCAGTGAACCATAAAGAAGGTAACTCTCCTCTAAAAGCCTCGAAGCTACCGATAGATTTTAGCGGAATCTTAGATGCACCTTAGCTAAAGAATCTCAGCTCTACCCATAGACGTATCTGCTCTAACCTCAAAAGAGACACCTTGCGGATAAAAGGAGACCTAAAAAGTAGACAGAGAAGCATCGATCGACAGTTAACCTGTACCTGCATCGACGAATTTTGGACACAGAGTAACGACAAGGTCTAGTCTTGGACGTACCGGGAGCAATTCGAGACTGGACCACTATCGTGAGTAGCCACGAATCCTACATAGAGCAAAGAGAACCAGAAACTAGTTGACTGCATAGCGAAAGACCTCTCCTCGACACAACCAAGACACAAAGAACATTAAAAAAAAAAACTAAAAAAATAAAAAATTAAACAAAAATATGAAGTAGTAGGCGTATTGCGAGAACACGTTTCCGAATGGGTTTGCAGATCCCCCTTTATCAACAGCCGGAGAGGCACTACGAGCGTCGGGCGACACCGCCCCAACCAGACCGAACCAGCAAGGTGTGCCTGCCTAGTAACCCCGAAACCAAGGCCAAATGCCCTTTCTTGATTCAAGCGTTCGTTAACTTAAAACTTAATGTTTCTACGTATAAATATAAATACATATATATACATATATATATATATATATACGTTAGATCATTATCATTGTCTATCTATATATATATACATATATATTTCATTTTTGTTACGGTTCTTGATTATCGTTACGATGTTTATTATGACCGTTTTTTCGATTGATTATCGTTGTCGTTTGGTTTGGAAGTTTCCTATATATATAGAGAGAACGTGCATAGTCTTGCCGTGTGATCTATTTTTATTTGTTCTGTTCAGTCTACAGTATCCAAGGATACGTTTTGATACACCATACACCACGCCTATGATACACACGTGACATTACATACAAATGATACACACGCTATATACAGAGTTTTAGACCCGTTTCTGAAGAAAGCGACGCCGATCAAGAGCTTTCTTATCCAGCGTGGCTGTATCCGTAATCGATTTTGATTTATTCTTACGTTTCAGTTTCTGTTTTCGTTTTTTTTTTTTCATTTTTTTCCTTTTTCGTTTCAGTTCGTTTCATTTTCTTCTTCTCAGTTTGCGTACACCTTTCGTTCCTCTCTGTTCTCGTTTCTCCTTGGTTCTGGTTTCGTTTCTGGTTCCGTTTTCTGTTCCTTAGAGATCGATGTTGTTGCACGATGGCATAGAGGTGTGACATGACGAATGAAATATCATAGAGGTTAGACCAATTTCGTTCTGTTCGTTTCTGTGTCTGTGTCTTGCATCGTGACAGATTTCTTGACATGCGCCCGATGTTTCATAGTACGAATTTAATTACACCGTCGAGACGGGACCCTGCGATCGTTCGGAAGCTAGAAAGCGTCAAGAGAGGCACCGCGGGAGATATTCTCCGAGTCAGAGTTCAGCCCTGGACGTTGACAAAGCCTCTGTCCCCGTTTCAATTCCCGTGAAACAAGCTCTTGATCCGGCTAGCCTTATAGTATACCGTAGTCCCGACGATACAAAGTGTCACATGGATCCGCATGAAACTGCCAAATTGACGATTTCGAGTCGAGACGTTCGACAAACCGTGACAGTCGATGAAGATGCGAGCAAAGAAGGAAGTATCCATGTTACACTGACTAGCTCGATCCTTGTGACAGTTCATTGGGAACGATTTGGTATGACATGTTGTCATGTATATTATTATTATTTATTTTTCTGTCGAGTCTTGTTGGAAAGATCCGTTCAGCTGTTAGGTACTAACATGCGTTTCGTTTTAATGTATAGTCACCGAGCCGTGTCGAATACCATAGGGTGGGTGATCTGGACGGTCTATTTCGACGAATGATCTAGATGATCTCGATGGTACACGTTCCTCGTTCCTCATCGTCACCGCGTCTCTGTGTCTCGGTTGCATAACTTTCGAAACTCGCCGCCTACCTGACCACATAACGCGTGGTGCGCATGTATATTGACCGTGTGGATCGATAGCTGGCCATTGATGTTTGTTTCGTTGAGAGAACGAGTTCTGCATAGATGACAGAGAGGGAGGGGGGGAGAAAGAGAGAGAGAGAGAGGGAGAGAAAGAGAGAGAGGACACGAGAGAAAACGAGAGACGTACGCATGTAATTGTTCTTACGTGGAATGACAGACTCTGGATACGCATGGTACGCCATGTAGCTGACAAGAGAGAGAGAAAGAGAGAGAGGACACGAGAGAAAACGAGAGACGTATGCATGTAATTGTTCTTACGTGGAATGACAGACTCTGGATACGCATGGTACGCCATGTAGCTGACTATGATGACACGTGTCCGTGACGCGAGAACGCAACAGACGGGATGATGATTAGGAATCGAGGATCCTTTTCCGCACCACTGAACGAACGAGTTTTCCTCGTTTCGAAAATGTGCCGGTTACGCGATGAAAAGCCAAGGAACCGGGGTGGGGGTTCGATGAAATGAAAAAGAGAGAAAGATTTCGAACGAGGGGAACAAAAGGACCGGGACAATGGGAAAACGCTGTCTGAGGTATTCGACACGACGCGCTATCCACATGGCTGCTCTACAGACGAGAAAGTTGGTTGGATTGACCGTAGGTCTGCCTGTGAGTGTTAGGTGTATATTAACCCTATTTGCCCGACATTTTTGGCGATGTGCCCGTGTTCAGTGTGTGCTCCCTCGTTTTATTTTCCCATTCAGACCAACCTGTATATCATCCCAAGAGCCAGTCAACCTAACCTATTTTCGTACCTAGACGAATTTTTCTCTCATCCAGTTGCGTCTCGGCCCCAAGTTTGCGTTTTGCTTGCTGTTCTGTGTCATTTAGATGCCTGATTTTTCTCAGAACTTCCAAGATATCCAAACATTCTTTTCGTTCACCCTTGGTCCCCTTGTCGTCCATACTCGTCTGCCACCTCGCGTTCTTTCAGTTTCGTTCGCCTTCCCGTTCAGTTCCCCGTTGAGTAGCTCTGTTTAACCGGCGACGATGATGCCAGACAGACACGTTGTACAGTCTGTCTCTCCGTCCATAGATCAGTAGAAATTTCCGTTGATTCGGTCGATCCTAGTTCTCTTAGCCTCCTCGATGAAGCAGCATGCGGTAATCCGACGATCGATCGATCTCTCGACTGCTGTCTGTATGTTGCGAGCACCCCAACACCCGACCAGTTGTCCCGGCCATCCCACTTGTTTTCTCGCTTGACCAACTGTATTATCATCCACGATCGACGTAATCGAGCCTGTACGTTTGTTTTAGTTTCCTTTATCCTCATTCATGGTTGCTCCTTCGTTTTTTTACGAAGTTTTGTCTGTTCGTGAGAATGCAGTAAGTAGATGGCAGATGAATCGTTCGTTGACCGACCGGACGCGTTAGAGTAGTCTCGTCTTTTGTTGCACGTGTGGACCATCGTTGATTTCGCCGTTGCGAAAGACCAGGAGAAGCAACTTGCTCGAAGAATCTCGATTTTCGACGCTGACAACTCGACGAGTCTCTCGAGTCGACCGAAAGGACGCGGCACTTTTGGCTCAGACTGTACACGCGACGAGAACGTTAGGGAACGTTCTCCCACAACCGGGTACTTGCCTTTCGCCGTTTCGGAGATCGATAATCCGAAGAATCTCGGTTCTCCGACGATTTTTCAACGATCACGCGCGAATTGTCGGCTTAAACTCGATTTCCAAGTGGTCACTGACGACCGTGGGGCGCCATTGTTTTCCAGCCGCTCGCAGCGCCACCACGGGAACTCTGACCGAGATGGATCTTAGAGAACGATTAATCATAGCTGTCGCAGAGGAATGATAAATCGCGGGAGATTTGCGCGAGTCTCCTTTTGCTCGTTGATTTTCGTTCCGTCCAAACACAACCACGACGGAGTAACACGACGACCATTGTTTCCATAATTTTCTGCTCCCCTTTCGAACGGTTTGAATCTGCCTGTTCAGCCGCTAGGGGCGAGGAAACCAGAACAGTTCTCATCGGACCCTAATCAATCATTCGATCGATATCGTTTTCTTTTGAGTTTCCATTTATTTTCTGTTTCTTCTTGGTTCGATCGTGTTCTGTGCTGATTCTCTATTTCTTTTCCTATGATTTT